CCCTACCCATCGGTCTCAGATCATTAACTCTGAAGAAACTCCCACACTATTAGTCCGGAATAGTCACTTGGTCGATGCCCTCTTCAGGGTCTACTGCCCTGGTCCATAAGGTGTGTCCGGAATGTGGCATGAGAGTTGGAGATTAACACCTAACTCTCCTGCAGTTTTTGATCGAAACATTGAAGAAGAGTGATTTCCCTCTTCTATTTGTCGCAACATCGGGGATCGCTGCAGCCAACCGTTGCAAGACACAAGACTAACTGGCACACCGCCAGCAACCTGTTGGAACTGAAATGCAAGACGTATATTAAACATCGAGAACTACTTCGTGTTCAATTTAAGCGGGGCACGGACGAGCGCTAATTTATGTTCCTAAGCCGGATCTTTGTGGATCAGATAAGCTTTTTATGGCACTTTGGTGTGTTGAACAACAGAGGGGGTAAACCGCATAGTCACGAGGACCTGCTGTCCAGTGATGGAAGCCGCAACCTAAGCCCCGGAACTCGAAGTGGCGAACTAAATACGGCCCATAAGGCTATAGAGTATCCCTTGGTGGGCCGAGGTCTGGTTCGGAACCCTTACGGTCCCTAACCACGCTAGCAGTCGCATCGACTGTGTCGCGGTGCAGGTGGGGAGCCCATTCTTTCCCTCCTTCTTAGTCCACTTCTTTTCTCTTGTCTTAACTGTTGAAAGGGTCAACACACGTTATGTTCCTGTGGACAGTCTGTCTAGAACGGTCTGCGCAGAAAAATGCTACGGAACGTGCGACCAAGTACTCAATAAGAAAGTTGTCGATCAATCATGAAAACCTGCGACATAACCTTGGGGACTTGAAACGGCAAATTACAAGACCCAACAAGGTTAGGTGTGGCATTAAGCCCGGCGATAGTGAAGCTGCCTACGATACGCTGATTAGGAGTGTTAAAATATATAAGCATTGAACAAATTTGCTGGGGTTTCAGTTCAGACCACATCGGCAGGAGAAAAGAGGTCATTTTTGCGATGGCACATAGGATGGAGAATAGATTTAAAGTTTAACAAAAGGTACGCTAAAAAACAATGGTTGCAACAGCTCCAATCAGTTGACTATGGCCTGGGATGAACTTTTTCAAGCTGACCGGGTGGTGGCCTTTCGGCAAAATAGCTGGACAACGAGGCCAAGAAGTGTTGGAGGAATTCACCGACGTTTCTGAATATATATTGACCAAGAAATAAAGTTAAATGCTGAAGTGTGCCCGAGGAGTTTCAGTTTGAACAACCATTAAGCATGCACTTCCGTGCGTCGCTTTGGGTTGCTGTCTTTTGGTTGCCCATTTGGATGAACAATAGGACGGAAACAGGAAGATTAAAAGTAAGATCTAAGAGATAATTGAGAAGTTCTTTGGACTAATGATGCAAGAAAATTGCAAGGACTCATGAACGCCACAGTTTACGACACCCAGTTACATCACTCAGTGTCTCTAACCATCGGTGACCATCATCCCGAGGTCCCCAACCAGGGAGCCTAACAGGACCTATGTGATCCAGTCTCCTGGTTAGGGTTTTCATACCTTCATGCCAGGTCTTAGCTTGACCACCCATGGCTTTATTCCACCCATTACCTATCTCGGCGAACGTCGGTCGCGATGGCAACCTATTTGGTGACATGTGTAACATGCCCCAACCAACGTAGCCTATAGAGATCGATCACTTGCTCCAGTGTACCACCTCGAATACCTAAAACTCTGCATTGCTCGTCCGGCTGCCCCACCAGATTCGTGCAATGCTGCGTAGTAGTGACGCAGTGGTGACGCAGTTGCTGGAGTGCTTTGGACCCTATGGTCCGAGGTTCGAACCCCGCCACCCAACGGCTTTGCTGTTGTCCGGTTCAATACCACGCCTAACCTAATGGGACCTTATGTGGTTCGCCACTCCAAGTTCCAGGGCTTAGGTCACCGGTTTCCATGACGGAGCAGCAGGTCTTCGTGACAATGGGGTTCCCCCCCGTCTGCTGTTCACCACACAAATGTGTGTAATAAACAGAAGACAGCGATGTTGAAACACTGACAGTCTATCTTTGTCCTGTTCCAGTAATGACCAAGTTTCTGCTCCATATAGCAGAACCGGCCGAACTGCCGCAGCATACACTCGACTCTTCACAGACAGCCGAATGTCCTGACGGTGCCTGTCTGAAGTTGGCAAATGCCAACCGAGCCTTCTGTATGTGAGCTGATACTTCATCTATGATACGTCCACCGGGTGAGATGTAGCTTCTCAAATAACAAAACGTATCCACTTGCTCTATAACTTCTCTAGTTAGAGCGAGTCTCTGTGTTGCACCAACCCATTCTTATAATAACGTTTCACACTTTGAAGGTGCGAAACGCATACCGAACATGGCTACTCTGGCATTTAAGCTATCCAGAGAGTGATGTACAGATATAGCTTCCAGGAATCAACATCGAAATCCTGTCCCAATAGTTTGTCTACAAGAAAGCCTGGTTTCTTGCCACAGGATTGTTCCTGCCTGCCCTCAGAATTCGAATGAGGAATCAAACACCTCATTGCTCTATCTGCCCTGCTCCTGAANATTCTGTAGTCACGTATGGGGTGGGGCTTCATCTTCTTCGCTTTCCATTGATCGTGTTCAACGAAAGGCCATCCGGCTAATCGATGATCTTTCTCTAACATCCAGTCTGTAGTCTCTAGCGCATCGTCGGGCAGTTGCTTCATTGTCCCTGCTCTACCGTTACTACTTTTTGTTGTTCGCATCTTGCCTCGGCAGTTCCTCTTCCTGAAAATTTTACCCGCCCATCTCGTACACAAACATCTAGTCATTCTTATCAGATTTCAGTTCTCAGATACCATACTTCTCTGCTTCAATATTCTTTTTTCCCCCGAACTGCCAAACTGGAACACCCCACTTTCTATTTTCCTCCCAACTTACAACCTTACACTCTTTAAACGCAGAATCAATAGACTGGGTCTTATGTGAATGTTCCTCTACCC